GTTGAATGAAGATTTCAAAACATTTTACGAAGCGTTTCAAGTTAAATTTTACATTAAATCAAAGCTTACAAAATGCAAAATAATATACCTACAGTATATAATAAATTATGGAAATTTATTGTTATATAGTTAAAAGTACGAATCTTTGAACTATTTTGCAGTTTTGTACAAAAAATATGAAAAATTAAAAGTTTAAGAATATCGTACGTGTTGTCATGGCGAGCGCGAGCATGCGTTCAGTGGGCCATTTCTGAATACTTCATGTTAATTTAATGTTTGGAAAATATTGGCGAGGGGTTACTGCATGCATGTATTTCCAGTAGTGTAAAGAATTCAAGAAGTTAAGTTAAGTTGGAAGTAAAAGTGGAAACATTATTGTCAGCGCCAGTTGGGTTGTTAAATTCGTGAAAAGCAACGTGTAGGTTTAATTACAATGTATTGCACACGTTTGCAGTTATGAAAAAGTTGTCCAATAGCACTTTTGGTCGGATATTGGTATGCTCAGAGAGGCGTGTCTGTAAACGTCTTTCTGTTTTCCCAATATACGTTACAGAACAGACAGGACATGTCACTTCGTAAACTACATTAGATTTCGAAAGTTTCTGAATTTTGTCCTTGTTGGAAGGAAAAAAATAAGAAAACTTTTTGTGGTCATAAATAACTATATTTTCAGAAAGCTTGTGCATCAGAGAATTTGCCTAGCAACAGAGTTTTGTAATATAGTTAATATTACATCTGGTATAACAGAGGATTTATAATCTGACACCGGCTATACCATGTCTTACTTACGAAAGGGTATAACAGCACAGATAATATAAAATTAAATTCTTTTTATAGAAATATGAAGAACAATGATTGATTGGTAATGGGGATGTACATAGAACTTTTTGAAATATTTAATACTTTCAAAGTTATGCAATGCTAAATTTCATGAATATTTTTAAGCATTTTTTTCATAACATCGTATTTAAATCCCAATCTATCTATCCTTAGAAAAAGTTCTACATACATCCCCAAGAGCTCTATGAAAGCACTTATTGTTGAACATTTCAGGCAAATTGTTCAAATAGAACTTGGGATATCCTTTCTCAACCGCATGAAAAGTTGATTTTGAGAAAAATTGAGTTAAAGTCGAAGAAATTTAAATTTACTATGCAGTACTGACATGAACATTCCAGAATGTAACAGAGGAGGAATCGTCACAATACCGTGATGCATTGCGGCGGATTTTTTTCTCAATTGTGAATTTCGCGTGCGATCGACGAAATAATTGGGAGTTTTCATCGAATTTTTTCTCGCTGAAATTCACGAAAGTTTCAAAGGTATTTATTAAAAATATGTTCTTGGGTATTGAAATTTACTATATAAATATTTTATTTGGGTTATTTGATACTTTTGGGGCGAATAATTTGCTTATGTTTTGACCTATTTTCCGGGTCACTGCACACGGCCGGAAATGGCTTCAATATATGATGGGGTCGTTTATAGTTTAAAATAGAAAAGGTCGAAAAAAATCGGACCAGTACATAGAAAAGAAGTTATTCTTTCAAATGATACCAAGAAATCAAAAACGACCCCTCAAACCGAGAAGTTAATGGTTTTCAAAATGGGGGTATTTGGTGCTTGATTTATTCAAACCAGATTCAAACTGCGTAAACACGCGACATTCCGGTTACCGCGCGAAATGGCGCGAAAACACAATGATATTCAATTCATCATGCAATGGCCTGCAATCATGTTATTTTTCAGTTTTGATATATAGGAACATGAGTTCGTACCCTTCATCAAATGTTCTTATCCATTTTCTATTATATTGATGAAGTATTAAAGAGACAATAGCTTGTTTAAGACTGATATTTACAGTTTATACTGGAGAAAGCAATGTTTGTTTGTATTAATATAAATAGGATACCTCTATGATTTGCTATGAAATGTAATCTCGTGATGTTGCTAATGAGAATACTGCTAAGCGTGTATATGTTTCGAGTAGTAATACCAAGCAAGTGCACCTAGACCTGTGATTTTTTATGTCATCCGGCTACGGGAGCTCCTTATTGGCTAGGTATAGCACCTGGCCCGCATGTTACATTTTTCAAAATGAAAGCTAGCTAAAATTATTGGGGGGGGGGGGCATGCATCGCCCCCTATTTTCCGCCACTGGAGTCAGGTATACGAGCATCATCAAGATGCTGTTCAAGGGTGGATTTTCATATTTTTTAAAGGAGTGGAAAAATTTCTAGTGAGGTGTAAGTGGCACCACTGAGTGAGCTTCGGCAGGGGTTGGGCAATAGGATTAAAGACCTTCACACAAAATAGGAGGGGTGAAGCAAAATTTTGGGGTTGAACACTTTATAAGAGGGCTTAGAGAGATTCTAGAGCACCCCTAGTAAATCTGCCCATGATGCCGTTAGAAATTATTGGGCAGGTGAGGGTGTGTGGTCACTAGGCTTTCAGTTTGAAAGGTTAAGAGCCCCCCTCCCCGTGTGTACTTTTGTTGAATTTCAGGAATAATGATGCTGCATGGATATGTCATTGACATCTTATGAACTCCATTCACTAGCATTACTCATTAGGCTGTATTCTTGTCAAAATTATGCTATGAATGACCCCGTAGTCATAATCACTTCATATCTCTCTATAATAAAATGGCCAAAGTTCCATCAACACCTGATATATATTTCAGAACAGTACAATTAAACTTGTTTCATTTTATCTTTCTGTCTTTCAGATAGTCGACTTAAAGGTCAAGGGTATACAATTCCTACAGAAAAAGATTTGTTTCCTTGGAGGAGGCTGAATCTCTTCATATTTTGGCTTGTCTATGCATGACAGTTTGGCTGAGCTTGTAATTGACAACAGAAAAAATCATTTTACCAAAACACACAAGCTTGTAAATGTTTAATCTGAGACATACAACCAAACAATGTCACAATGCAAACTGAAACACCACAACCTGCAGACATTGGTCAATCATTGCCCACATTGGAAAGTGTATTAAAATTGTCAAGCCATTTGGAGAATACTCATAGCATCTCATTCATAATACAGACCCTCCAGTAAGGCAATGATAAGGCATATTTTAAACTTTATTCATACTTCATCAGTTTTACATTATTTCACATTAAACAATAGTATATATTATTGGCATTAAGCCATGCTGTAGTAATATGTAAAATAGGGGTGCACCAGAACCAATTTTTAAAGTTCCTGCCAGAAGTTCCTGGCCGGAACTGATTTATTAAGCCATGCATAGTCATATGTTACTTTGTCTGCTGGCAGATACTTCAAGTCATCAAGGAGGGCTCGCAAATGTGAGAATAAAAAGATTGAAAAACTTTAAACATTATGTACATTTTCCTTGTGTAGTCCAAATTCCTTCCTACTGTGAACTATTGTTTGACACAAAAACGTATGATATTCTATCTCTCTGAAAACAACAGAGTTCCAGCTCCGGTCATGCTTTTCTTATTAGTTCCGGCTGGAACTCTGAAAATCGCAGTTAGGAAGGCAGGAACTAAGAGGCTGGAACCGAGTTCTGGTGCACCCACAATGTAAAATCATAATTTTAAAAAATAAATAAGTTAAGCAGTTAACATGTAAATATATAGATAGCTATAAATAATTTTAATATTTAGTACTGTTTCCTGTTCTTCTAACCTTATACTCTCCATGTATTTTGGTTAAATGGAAATTGTGCAACATTTCATACAATATGCTGTTTAAAATTTTAAGTGCTGTTTCTAACAACAAAATAATTTCAAAATCAATTGACTTGTGTCTTTATTCTGTATAACCAGCGACCGTCGTGTGCCAGAACTGTATGTGGCTGCACAGAGTAATATATTTTACCATTTATGGTTGTCTGTTAGTTTAATTTGTCTGATGGCATACAGACATACACCTCAAACCTGGGTATAAAATCTCTGTCTCATCAATATCACATGTACCTCTTCATCATCTTATCTGTTGACTCTCAGTGAGGTGGTAGATCTACTAAGCAGACAGAATTCATATGTTGATGGTAGCAATTACATGGTGCTTGTCTTTTTACTGATTTAGTGGTGGAATACGCATCCAACTCTTGACCATCACTTGATGGTGATCTTGGTAGAATATCAAATTCCCACAAAATATTACATGTATTGAATATTCTCTTTGCCAGGGTCATCCAAGTCGAAGAACTAATGCAAGATATACAAGAACAACTCAGTTTTATATATAGTCAGAATAACTTCAGGAGATATACTGTAAAAAAGATTGTACAAATTCCTATATATATGCCCTAAAAATTTAAAGTGGCTTCCAAAACTTGTTATGATTTTAAATCTTTATCACGATTTGAAGTTTCTGTAGTGAATATTATTCCTGAAGTCGATATAACTGGTGTTAGTTACATTTATTATATATGGCAATTTTATAATACCCTATTAAAACATGGCAAATTTGATATAAATCTTATCCATATTTATTTAGGCTGTGCGCGTTTGATGTTTCTACAAAGTTCGCTCGAATATCTACAACTTCAATATAACCTCTTACTGTGAAAAGCGCACCTTAAAAACACAACTAGAATGCATCATTCGGTAAACATTTGTGCAACTTTAACCCCATTCACAGTTGATAGAAAAAATTGCATGGCTTCTCAGCTGAAACTAACGTTAATCTTACGGCACTGCTCAACACACGTTACTCCATCAGGGGCTAGATACAAAGGCTGTGAGGATCCAACAAGCATAAATCAGATGAGGTGCTTCACTGCTTCCAAAAGAGAAGCTTTAATCCCATGCCAGGAGCGGAAAATTTGCGCCATTTTCTAAAACGATAGATTTTCTGAGATGTGTTTACAACGACAGCCAACGAATACTGAGCGAGCTGCGCCGGAGAATTGATAATATGTATACAATGGTCCAAAACCGCAATGCATTGTGGTATACTGACGAGACCTCCTCTGAGAATGTAATTTAATGTGGAAACTTGCAGTTTGTTCATATCTTGACTACCTAGAAGCCTTCTGCTTCATAAGTGACACCCTCAGCCTCCAAAGATGCCTCTTCACGCATCACTTTTCTCTGTTTGATTGCTTGCCGATACATCTTTTCTTTCTCTGTGGCCTGTCGATCTGCTTTCTTTACTCTCCTTTTATCTTTTTTGGCTGATGACATTTTTGTGAACTTTCCTCCAGAAATAGAAAGTCTGTCCATTATTGTTAATCTAGAGGAAGCTCCACTATGAAAGTGACATACAGCAGATGCCACCGTACAACCTTCATACCATGATGACACTACACTCACTTCTCTTCATCACACACTTTCGACACTCTTTTGAGAAGACATGGTAGTCTAGACCTTCCCCTGTATCCAATGCAATAACACGCACTTCGCCCAAGTCTTGTCAAAAGAAACAGCTGTGTCCACAACAGTGTCATCATTAACTTGCTCTCTATTTTCTTTGGAGATGAAGTCCTGGACCTTTTGACCTTCCAGTTGCATTTCTTCGTGGGCTTCTGCTTCAACGACCACAAGAATCGTATCAACCATTTTGTGGTAAAATGGTAATGACAAGCATGGCATGTTCATGATACTACAAAGGGGAACAAGCCCTTCATAACCACTTCCTGTTTCCAGAGAATGGTACCCTGCCCGTCGGTTCACATCATATAATTTCCCTCTTTCCGAAACTGACAACGATGTTTCACAACTGGTACTCCCAGAGCATATGTTGCACTTAATGGTGAGGTCAGGCATACGACCATTTCTTGCACTGCTATCTTCACTCAGAATCAAATGGCCTAGAATACAGAAATAATTAAATGAAAACTGGTGTGAAATACTAAATATATAAAACATAATTGTGCTGTGGGTAAGTCCACTTTGCTAACCAATGTGTTTATATATGGGAAAAGTTTGTATTGAAAAACATGGAGAAATAAAATATACCATCAAACAAATTGAAAAGAGTAACATATAGAAGGAAAAAATATTTATGGTAATCAAGGGAACAGTATACACAATCCAGGTTAGTCATTTTACCTCCCTCACAAACACGTGTTCAGTTCAGTTGAAAGAGTGAAGCTAATTTTGCAACATTTACAAGCCTATATCCTTCAACAGGGTCGTCTATCCCACCATCAAAATTGTCCGATGAACTGCTTGAAATAGTTCGTCGTTTAAATTTTGCCCTAGAAGCACTCAAATCCAAAGGTTGATGAATCTCTGAACTGGTTGATGGTTGTGTCACTGACGATTCACCTTCATTTATTAGTACATTTTCTTGTGTCTTCGTTTTGTTTGCTTATCTTTGAAGTCCAGTAAACTACCTTCCTTTCTTCGACATTCTGTAAACAGATATTCTCTTTTTTCCAGGCACGAAATGTGAAAAACGTTTTCTCAATAATACGAGAAATAGTATTATAAAATTTACAAGCTCATGAATAATTTTTAGATGTATCCCATCAGGTCCTGCGGCCGCTCCAAACAAGTTTAAAACGTCATGTTATACACTGTGTAAGTGCTAGTTTATATTCCTTACAGTTTTGTTGGTCAAAAAGATAAAAAAAAACAATGAAAATGGATAAAAA